TGAAGTAGATTAATGAATTTATCTATGTATTATTTCATATTATTAGTTTGTTATAAGATTTCAATCTCATCTTGCTATTAGTTAATTCTTCTCTAGTTTAGAAATGAGTAGTAAATTGATAACTGAAACTATATAACTAATCTTAATTATTATTTTAGGCTATTAATCTAATGATATTATCTCTACTTTTTTCATTATAAATAGTATTTTTTAGATATCTTTTAACTAATTATATCTTTTATGTATTTATAATTCTATTAGCTTATATAGTAATATTAAAGTTTTTGAGTTATTTAGTTAGATCTTGATTATTTTCTTAATATTTTCTAATAGGGATAATAATTTTTTTATAGGCCAGATATTCTGGTTAGCTATATAATTAGTAAGAGCTCTAATAACTGCAATTAAGTTATCTAAATTATTATTATTATTTTATATTATTTAATTATCTTCTTTAGTTTCTGGATTATTATTTTCTGAGTTTGTTTAAGTATTTTCTTTTAAAAAGTAATAATTACTATTTTCTTCTGATTCTGAAGTTATTATAAATTATATTGAAGAAGTAAATATATCTTCTAAATTCTTGATTTCAAAATAGTATTTATTAATATCACTATTATTAGATGAGATTCTTGTCTAAGTTTGTAAAATAAAATATTAATAAATAAATCTTTGGTAAAATTATTCAATTAAATCAAGTTATTCTTCTTAAGTATTAATATACTTAAAGATAAATATATTAACTAATTATATTTTTTTTTATCTAAGATGAATGATATATATTTTACTTAGTTCAAGTTAAATTAATTTATGAAATAATAAATATATAATTTGATTTACTAATATTATTCTAATACTTTCTATAAACAAGCAAAATATTTAAAATTATAAAGAAAAGTCAAATTAAAGAGAATGATAATAGAAGTAAAAGTATTAAAAGAGTATTTTAATAGAGTAATTAGAGATTTAATATACTTTCAAGTAATAATTAATAGGTAATCTAATAAAAAAATAATAATTAGTTATAAAAATTCAAGACTCAAATATTTATTAATTATGAATAATAAGAGAAAGAATATAAAAGAGTATAAAAAGAGTTCAAATAATAAGAGATCTCTGAGAGATTTATTTTTATAAAGGAAATACCAAAAATATGTCATAATGAATTAATAAGTAGATTTTTACTTGAATTTATCTTAAAAATATAGAGTTAAAAGAGACTAAATTAATTAAAAGATAAAGAAAAAAAAATTAGATTATACTTTTAATAATGATAAAGATTTCTAAGATCTGTCTTAATATCTATGGATATTGTCTTTATAAAGAGTAAAATAAATAATAAAAAAAATAAATAAATCAAAAAATTATAAAAATTGATTAGTAAAGTTATTAATAATTAATATAATTTAGGATTTAAGTTAATTAAATAATAAAACTACTATTAATCAAAGAAAATTATGATTAATAAAAGATAAAAACTAAACTAAATAACTAAATAAAAAGAGTATAACTTATTTATAATAGAGGTTTTTTACTCTTAAAAATAAATAAAATAAAAAATATGACTTATTTATAATAAAGATCTTTTACTCTTAAAATAATATTAAAAATCAAAAATCAATATAATGTTATAATTCAAAATCAAAATTAATTTTGTATAGTTAAAGAAATAAAATTAAATGAAAAAAAATATTAGTATAATTAGAAAAGAAAACTTATAAAAAGATTATTATTATTATAATAATAAGTTTTTTTAATTATATTTTCTAAATAATTCAATTCAAAACTATTTATTTCAAGCTAAAATACATTTTTTGAATATATAAACTATTATAATATTATTAGTTAATACTATCTAAATATACATATTATTATTATAAAGAATTATATAATTAAAGTACTATAGTTTAAATATTAATATTAGAAATATAAATATTGAAAGATATTAAAAGATATTTAAAATATTGATATTTATAAATATGTATAAATATTTATAAATATATATAGATATTTGTAATCTTTAAAATATTAATATTTATGAATATTTGTGATCTTTACTCTAAATATCATTATTTCACCAAAAATTAAAAATAATCTTTCAATATACTATTTTACTATATATATAAAAATTATATTACAAATAATTCAAAAATATAGATCTTGAATAAAAAGAAATAAGATATAATATTTAAAAATAGAAATATAATAATAAATATAATAATAAAAATAAATATATAATATAAAAATAGAAATATTTATAAGATAAATATAAAATTATAGAAAAATAGGATTTTATATAATCAAGAAAATATTATGAAATTAAAAAATTTTATGTTACTATAGTAATAATAATATTATTAAAAAAGTGATTTTAGCTATAATTGGAACTATTAGATTAATTTCAATATTATCTTCTTGAATTTCTTTTTAAAATTATTATAAATTATAATATACTTAGATAGTTTTTTACTAAATAAGTTAATTTTAAATTCAAAATTTCTTATTAAATAATAATTATAATAAAATATAATCTTTTCTAAAAAATCTTATTTATATACTTATATATTAAATTAAATAATATATAAATTAATAAATTCTAATTATAATAATAAATTCTAATATATATAAAATATTTTTTTTAAAACTTTTAAAAGTATAATCATAATATAAATATAAATATTATTTTATATTTTCTAAAATAATTTGATAAAATTAAGTTTATAGTAAAATTTTAAATAAAAAATATATATATAACTAATTATTTTAATAATTTCTTACAAATAGTTTTTTATAATATAAAATTAAATTATTAAATAAAAATATAAACTATATAATATTATAATTTTATTAGATTAAAAATATATAACTTGTATATATCATATTACTTTATTAATTTTTATATTTATAAGTTATATTCTTTAAGAATTTATTAAACTTTATTATATTATTAGTATTTATAAATATTATAATATGAGAAAAACTATTAAATATTTTATTATTATAAAGAAGTAATTGTTTATTATTAATTTTTAAATTTATTTATAAAATTATCAAAATATTATTAATATATAATTAAATCTTTTATAATTATTATACTTAAAAAAGTAAATTAAATAATTAAAAAGAAATATAATTATATAAAGATTTTTTAATTATAGTTAATTAATAATTAAAAAACTTAAAAAAAATAATTATAAAAAAAAGATAATTATTAAAAAATTTAATTATAAAGAAATTTAACTATATATATTATAATTATTATTATTATTAAATATAAAAAGTATAATAAGTTCTTAATTTATTTATCACTTATCTTGATTAAAATTTAAATACATAATAATATATATCTTAATATATAAAAATGATTTATTATTAGAAAATAAATTATTTATAACTTAATTCTTTTTCTAAAAAATAAAAATATCTAATTAATTTATAAATAAGCTTGTTTATACAAATATTAAGATCTTATAACTTATATTAAATTTTATTTTTACTTTTAAAACTTCTGAACTTAATAATATTATTGTTAATTTAAAAAATTAATTTAATATAAATAATTAAGATAATCTTAAAAATATAAGATGAGAGTATTAGTAAAATAATTTGCTTTATATTATTTTTCTTATACATTATAATTTAAAATTATTGATTAATTTTTTATTTTAAAAACTACTTTTAATAAACTATTATATTATTATACTTATAATTATTAAAATAAATATTTTTTAAATAGTTTTTATAATTCTAATTAAGATAATATAATTATGTTTAAGTAATTATTTTAGAAATTATTTTTTTAATCTTGATTTCAAAAGTAAATATAATCTTATCTTTATGAATTGATAAATATTTATTATAAATTTATTTATATATAAATATTTAAGAATATATAATTTAAAATCTTCATAAAGTAGAAGTAATTTAATTTTTAGATGATAATTATAATATAATATAAGAAGTTTATTTTTATTTAATTATTAATTTGTCTATAAATAAATAATTTATATATATTATAAATCTTTATTAATACTATAAGCCAGAAGTTTACTAATTAATAGCTTAGAAAAACTCTAATTCTAAATAAAATAAAAAAACTGATTTATTATATGAAGTTATATAATATTAAACTTTTTTTTAAGTAATATCAAAATAAACTTATTATTATTATTATTAGAATTAATAATCTTATTAAATAAAAACTTATAATTATTATCTTATTATTTTTGAAATTAGCTATCTTATTAGCAAAGATTTCACTAGATAATCAATTTGTAATTTTCTTGCTATCTTTCTTTATATTACTCCCTTATTATGCAATATTAATTCAGCTAAGCTTATATAAAATTATTTTTATTTCTTCATTATTCATATATCTGATTGTCTTGCTGCTTTGATAAGTTTTTTTAACATATTTAATTTTACTTCTTTCAATTCTTTTATAAATTGATCATCCTCCAAGAATATATTTTTATCTTTGACAACAAAGATTAGTTCAGTATCAAAGAGTTTGTCATTATGATCATTATTCAAAGACTTAACATACTCAGTAACTATAAATTTTTTATTTTTTGAATTATCATCCAGCACTTTTTTATGATCACTGAGCAAAGTCTGGCACGTTTGTTTCATTTTGACATTACTTATAAAGAAAATTTTCTCAAGTAATTTTAGTTTATTATTTAAGATTCACATGGCAACTTGTAATTAACTCGTTGTATGTACTCAAGCACTGTATTTATGCTGAGTTCAAGTTTTATTTCACTATTCTCACCTGTGGTAATACCATCATCACTCATACCAACTGAGACATTTCTATTGAAATTATTATTTTTCGCTTGTTGCTGTAATGCAGCGAATTTCGTTTGTAATACGTAAACCATTTTTATTGGTTTATAATCACGTGATTCATGTATTACACGCATGACAAAATTTCAGCGGTGGCGCAGCTATTTGTTGACTATAGACCGCTTGCACCATACCAATTTTTTTATTTATAGATAAAAATGAAACATGGGTCTCATTATTAGAAAAAGTTTACGCAAAAGCCAATGGTAATCATGAAAACATTGATGGTGGTTGGCCTGGAGAAGGTGATTGCATTTTTTATATGCTAAATTCAAAATATATAGAATAATTAATCAGTATATTCTAAAACAGCGCTCGAAGACTTGAGTGGGACATTTCTGCTTCATATTGGAGTCATCCCATCGAAGACAAGGATAAGTTCTGGAGTACATTGCGTAAACCAAACACCGATGTGGTATTTGAATGTGCGCACTTCCCACAATGTAATTTGGTTAAGCTTGACAATTTTAGATTACTTGAAATCAGGAACCCGTGGGGTCAGTTCGAGTGGAAAGGTAAATAATTTAGAAAATCAAGCTTTGCAAATTATTATTTTTATTAGAAAATCACTATAGACATTTTAAGTTTCTCAATAGGTCGTTAGAAAGATCATGGCGCAGAATGAAAACCAGAATACCTCAAAATTTTAAATTATTCTTTTGAAGACGACAGTTCGTTCTTTATGAAGTATGATAATTTCCTCAAGTACTTTCAAGCAGTCGATGAATTTTATCGTGATCAGTAGCGCGTCTATTCTCTCACTGGATAAAATGGACAGATAAGCAGAAAATAATCCCAAAGTTCACTGTTGAACTTAAAGATTCCGAGAATGAATTGAAGATTGTGCTTCAACAGCCAGATACGCGTTACTCTGGAAATAACTACAATAAGATTGGGTAACAAATTTCACTCATTTGACTCGCTCGCGTGTTTTTATTCATCATGTTCTATTGATGCTAATAATTTGATATTATAACCAGTTTAATCGGAAATCATTTTTTATGCAGGCAGTAAATTCTATTTGTGTGCTACTTGATACACTTATTATGTGAACAGTTTAATTTAGAGGTTAAAAATGTCCTTATAGAGTAACAATAGAAATTTAAGTCTTATGCAAATCATATGTTTTGTATCGATATGTACAAAATGAAATACAAAAAATACATTTATATGTATTCACATTTTTATATTATTTAACCGCTTTAATTCATGGCTTTTAGTTTCTTTAATGCAACTTCTGCATCTGGGTGACCGTGGCTTTTAGACTCTTTATAATATCTTCGGCACCCTTAATATCGATTGGTACATCATGTTCCCCATTTAGTAAAATATCAGCATACCAATGCATTTTTATCACGTGCTTTTACGGTTTTTTCTAAATATTCAAGTCTATTCTTCCTATTATACATTGATCCTTCAAACGCGCCCGCGCGTATAAATATTGTGCTGCAGCAGTATAAGGACCAGCTGGCGTATCATCAGATAAATATTTCATACATCACGCTCACCCCGAAGCACACCTTGTCCATCGAGAAGGTACCATTCAATTAAATATTTTGCTTGATTTGTTTCGGGTCCCTCTCTTTAGCGTATTCTTCGAGGTATGGGTACTATGAAGTTTCATCACTTCTTTTCAATTCGGAATGTTCTTAAGAAATTTCTCATACTCAGAGTCAACATTATGTTTATTGTCGAAAATATGCAAAGCTTTAGGATATGCGTTTTTCATCTTTATTGTCATCAAATGGACCTAGTTGGTGGCGCAGTAGATAAAATATGATGAAAAACTTCATCATTCGGTTTACGCGCTCTATGTGTTGTTGCGGATATATCAGTTGTCAATTATTTGCCATGCATACTTTGTGTGGAATAAAGAATGTGAAATTATGAAAAACATCGCTATCAATTCCAATTAAACAGCATTAAATCAGAACAGAAACTCATATACAGCAGGAAAGACAAGAAGAAGACAAACAAAATCTACTCCAACACTCTCACAAATTTGGCAAAAAACTGCACTATTACCAATGATAAAATACGCAATTCAGAAGTATAATCTAGCAAAGAAAATAAGAAAAATAGAATAGAAAAATAGCATAATACTTATCTATATAATATGATATAACAATAAGTTAATAATAATGAAAACAAAGAATTGAAAATTAATTATAGAATGAAAAATATCAATACAAGAAATACAATACAAATTAATTTAAGAAAAAAAATCTGATGGTTATATCTGATATAATACAAAGTTATATTAACTTCTGGATTAATAATAATATTATAAAATTATATACAATTACATGAAACTTAGATATATAAATCAACATGCATTATAAAGCAATTAACTTAATAATTCTTCTAAATATAATTTGTCAGAAAGATATTATAATTCAAATTCTTGTTACATAAATAATTTTTTTATTTAGTTATATTATTTTATTAATTTATTATATTAATATGATCTGATATAAAAAGATTGGTATATCAGATAAATATTAATAGATTATTTTTCAAAATAAAATTTTAATTCTGTCTTATTTAATTAAGTTATTAGATATTGGAATTTATTTAAATATAAAAATT